CTGAAGGGTTAGAGAAACACAGAGTTTTCTTTCTCTTTTCTATACTTCATAAAGTACAAAATAATTCAATGTGTATTTCATCGGCATTTATAAACTACTTCTGTTGGGTTCACAGTTGTGAGATGAGACATGGATCAATCATCACAGGATCACGAAACACTCCTCAAAAAAGAAGAACCAAACAAAATATATTGCACACTGCTAGAAAATGGTTTTCTCCCCTATATCCCATCAGAGGAAAGTGCGTTTCAACGCCAACAGGCTGCTGTGTTATAACCAGGACTATGTCAGTGAAGACAGCATGACAGAAATTAGCAGAGAGTGTCTCGCTGTAACGCGTAACAAGTCCTACCTCCGATTTATGTTCTACAAACCCCACTCCACCTTTAACCAGCAAGTCATATGTGATTACAACATAGTGTGCCCACAGCTGCGGTTTGCTACGTGCCAGGACAGGTAAACCGCTTGGCACGAAGCACAGCTATTTTCTGATTAAAACGGACCCACTATTTCCACTAAAAAGCAGAGCTGATAATCCAATGGGTGTTTCAAATGAAGTGTTTTCTTTGTGATTGCAACACTGAAACAGTCTGCAGCAGTTTTCTGTGTATCACTAGGACAGGCATAAAGCAAAACCTACAAAACTTAAGAGAATCAGCAGATTGGTATTTTGTAGCTACTCTGTACTTCCCTGAAAGACTGTAATGCTTCTTACAGCCAACAACAACAACAACAAATCTAATTTGTTACACTCTGACAATCTCAAAGCAGTTCTTAAAAATTTCCAGAGCAATCCCCAGCTGGTCTTGTGAGGCAGGTATCATGGGTACTACTGGCACACCACACACACAGAAGGGGAAAGAAAGGAGGAAAGCTGACAGTCATGGACATCAACAGGGAAGAATCCCGGTACCACTTTAATACCTACAGCACTGAAAACCAGCACATTCAGAGGGGAATTAACGTGAGCAGTTGCAGCTCTGTAGAGGCCAGGCAGACAAGGTTTATCTCGGTCTCTAGGCTGTCTGATGGTAATTGGCAGGACGGGCACCTACCTCCACGGGGTAATTGTGCATGCCCAACATGTTTCCTCTTACAGGATGTCGGAAAGTAGAGCTGCCTCACTTTAGAGGTGAAATAAATCCTAACTACCAGGTTAAGTCCTCAGAGAGCCTAGGAGACATATCTGGGAGCTGTTTCTTCTTACGTGGCTCTCTGTAGTGAAGTCACTTGCATGACAGGTTGAAGACTTTTCATACTCATTTCAACTGACTTTGGAAACTGCAGCAGATGACTGAAGGGATTCTGCCTAAGGAGCAGATGGGGAAGTCCTAGCGCCTTCCTCCCGCATCCGCTGCGGATGCAGGTGGCGAGGCTGGTTGCTCTGGTAACACACCCTCACATGATCCTGCTCTCACGCTCACTGTGCATGGCAACATAAGGGATGGGAGACAGCATTTTTTCTTATTAGCTCTTAACATAAGCCTGGTATGACTAAACTGCAGCAGTGGTACCTTAGAAAATAAGTAGCTGCTTAATTTCCACACCATGGAGGTGTTCTTACTCTGTTCCTACACTATTGCAATTACTAAACTAAATGGATGATCAAACTTAAAAAAAACCCCAACAAACAACCCAAACCCCCAAAATTCCTCTTCCTACACCTGATACCCCAAGTCTATCTCCAAGTCATAGAAAACATCTTGGATCTCAAAATGTCACATTCCAAAAAAAAAAAAATTGAGCAGATCTTACTCTGCCCAAATTAAAATTCTGTGCAAGGAAGGAATAATACTGAAATGCATTATACTTATAGCAGTCAGGAATCCATGTCAAGATGAACATAGCCCTGAAGCTTAATGTATGCAAGAGCTGCCAAAGCTATTAATTAGCTGACCCAGAAGGGGGACAAGTAGCTGATGCATGAACAAAAGGAGTAACTACAGAGACAGCAAAACCAGCCTTGACATCTCTTAGTGAAGAGTTACACAGTGCAGATGGTCTTCTGTAGCCAGAGAGGCAATTTAAGGACTCTGAGGACAAAATGTAATTTTACTGAGGAGGTAGCTCGCAGATGTAGCTCTAGCAGGTAAATTCACTGATGCCATCTCTGTGGCAGGTATTTCTCCAGTCCGGTATGAGCAGCGCTTTGATTGGGCTGCAAGAGGAAACGGCTCAAGCAAGTCAAGAGATGGCACTACTAAAATACCTCTTGCTGTTCAAACGGTTGCATTTTGAAAGAAGTAACAGTATCTCATCCTGCGCAAAGAAAAGTTGAAAAACTCCACTAGGTCAACGCACTATGTGAACTAAACTGAGAATAAAACTTTACTCATGATATTTGGCTATTGTCTTCCCACAATCTCCACATTAGGTATGAAGTTCACCATTTTCCATGACCCCTGGTGTCAAATGGTGCAATTCAGGAACACCAGCTGATCACCTCTACCACAAGAAGGTTTCAGACCTCAGCTGTGCCAAAAAGCAAGTCAGGGAATTACTGCAGTTAATACTTGTAGTCAGGCTCAACTTGACCTCCAAAATGATATTCTGGCCACTCAATGCCTTCCTGATATAACAACTGTTCTGATGTTCCCACAGCGTGCGACAAATGGTTAACAGCGCACTAGGACAGACTTAGCAGAACTGTAAAATCATTCCTACTAAACCTACCAACAGCATCATGATTTTACAGTGCTATTCAAGAAACACCGCAAGAGAGAAATCTTCTGCCCTACAGAACTCATACAACATGGAGAAGACAGAAAACGAAGTGGACTGGCAGAGAAAGATGCTCATCTAGGACAGTACAAGCATCTTACCGCTTTGATTGGTACTGATCTCCTTGGGCGGTTTGCTACGACACAGAAACGCACAGGAGGATGCTTACCCAAAGCCAGTGGCACCTGGTGCCGTGTTAAGTCCCAGCACCGTCTTCTACAGATTGGCGAAGAGCACAGCCAGCACAGTCAGCAAAGGCCAAGGATGTGAAATTCAAAATGCCAAACCATTGCCAAATGACTAAATGAATATCAAACCATTAATTTTGGAGAGCTCTTTCTTTATAAGCCTCTCACGCTCCTCTATTCCTATTGCTTGGTAGAAATAGGATCACTCTCAGAAGTTTAATGCCACATTAACAACAGCTTCGTGCATTTAAATCACTCCACCTTACTGCAGAGTGGGGAGGGAAAATGGTGTATTGGCCTTTCTGAAGCATACGAACTCTTCCTTTGCCAGAGAAGCTGGAGCTTATTTGGATCACCTTAAAACCTTCCTTCCAAACCTATTCAATATCCAAAACCAAATAACAAACATATAAATAACTTCGCCTAGCAGATCTTCCAAGCAAAAATATGTATTATCCCCAAACAATTGCACTTCAGGAAAAAAACCCCAAGGCTTCAGTTCATAAAGGGCATCCTAAGCCACAAAGAGCTTTAACAAATGCCTAGGTTTAGTCATGTGTTTTAATCCCACTGATTTCACAGGGATTTAAATGTTGGCTTAATTTATGCATGCTGAACTTTTAAAGTGCTTTACTGGATATCAGCCAAAGAAACGGATGCCTCTTGCAGCTTGTTCTTATGAACCAGAATATTTCACCCTTAACACCAATGATTAAAACAGTTAAAGCAGTTCCTAAAGGCAGCAATGTGGTAAGAAAATGCCTTTCCATCACCATTCCCTTTTTATGTAGGGCTCCGAACGATATAGGTTCCCCCTCCAAGTCTACTGCCAGAGGTAGCGTTTTGTCAGATGATCGCACGGGTCCCTCTCCGATCTCTACAGTTCTGCGGTGTTCTCTTTATCATGTTCAAATACAGCTACAAGTCAAGCATCAAAGGCTAATCAGTTCCCACCTAGGCTGACAAAGACCGTGTACCATCGTGGACTGTACTAAACTTGAGAACTAACCAGCGTGCGTCAGAGCTCTCCAGTAGCAGGACACTGCCGAGCGCGGACCAGCTGTTCCGCTGTAACGCGCCAGCTGACTGCGGGGGTTAGTTTTCAGTCGTGGCGGGAGACAGCTCCTCACATCAGCTCTGCTTCTCCTGGGGGCCCTTCCTGTGCCACGAAGGAGCGCACCTGCAAACAGACAAGCAAAACCAGCCAGTAAGTTCCCTGCCTTTCTATGGACAACTTCTACAGTTTAATAATTGGATTCTTTCTCGTCCACATTTCTCAATGAAATTGTCCAAATATTACCGAAACTCATTTGGGTACCTTTGTGAAGCAACGGAGAAGGATCATTCAGGTTTAGCCACCAGTACAGTGGGGTATCAGAAGCTAGAAGGCATATAAACTTAAAAAAAAAAAAAAAAAAAAAAAATCTTCTAAGTGCATAGTTTGAGAAACCTGAATAGGCCCAGGGTGCAGATATGTTTAACTTGAGCTGAAGCTCATGATTCCAATTTCCCCTTCTTTTTTGTTAAGGAAACTATTTTATTATATGCATGGTTTTAATACAATCTGGGGGTTTTTAAACTGGGAGAAGTAGAAGAATATAGCAATTACATATGCACAGACATATAGTTTTGTGGACAACAGTTTATTACACAGTAAGAAACAGAATAACCTTTTATACAAATTAGAAAACTGTGACAAAGTATCAGCTAAATATTACAGTATACTAGACCATATAATAAGCTATAATTTTTTATTTAAGTCAATTACACGGGATAATTAATGCACAGGTACATCTCGTTCATCAATAAATACTTCACTATTTAAAACTCTCCAAAGGAGAAAGTCAGAAACTCAAGCTCATTTCCAGATTACTTCAAGTATAACTGTGATTTTGGAAATAACTACATTAAAATCCACGTACAGATATCCACCTTTCAGCACAGATGAATTTGAAGATGAACAGACGTAGTTAATGATGCATTAACATTCCCATCTGAAACTGGTTATGACCACATACACATGACGGATAAGCAGTGTGGAAGGTCCCCTATTGAAGGGTGATACTCTGGTCTAGCCTGAACACACCACAGCTACTGTTGTTCAGAGACTCTGAGGTTCTCAGAGAGAAGGAATTCCAGTTCAACGGTATCATCAGTGGTCTCTACTGGTACGTTACTCTTTTCCACCGTGGGTGAGTAATTCTGTACTTCATGTCTTGAAGCTAGTATCCTTGAAGTCCCATTGCATGAACATGTCTCTGGTTGTCTGATGCTGTCTGAGCAAATATGGTTTGGATGGCAGATGCCTGAACAGGAATTTGGTTGGCAATGACTAGGGACATAGTATTTAGTTGCCACTGGACTTGATTCTATTTGATTATGAAAAAGATTATTAGCTGCGCAACAGGTCTGGAGACAGTTACTATTTTTGAATCCATGATGAAGGCCTAATTTAGCAATAAGGGGCTTCCCAACATTAACTTCCTTCCTTTCATCCATTGTGTCTTCTATTCCTGGATACTCATAGTGCAAGCAAACAGTGAAGATCAAGTGTTCCTGCAAAAGAGGAAATGGAGGAGGGGGAAAAAAGAAACAAACAAAAAGTTATACTTCCTCCCCAAGTAGACAACATAGGAAACACTTAAAGAGGCAGAGCCTACCACAGAAGGAGAGCTAAAGACATATTTTAGCTTTTGAGGAGCTAAAGACATATATTAGGCAAGACTTGTTTACTGAGGACCTCTTTTGGTTAATACTTGCTCACCTGATAGTCTTTATTTCGAAAGTAACTTAGATTACACCAGCTGCCAAAGCATTGAAAAAGAGTTACCAAGTGATGTCCAGCACAGATGTTCATGACACAAAGATACAGAGATAACTTAACAGTGCCACAGTATGGTGAAGTGAGAACCTTTTGAAAACTGCATGCCCAAGAGCACAGGTTGCAACAGAAGGAGATGGTATGTAACATTTTCATCTCCTACTAATGACTTCGTAAGATGCAGCTCTGCTTCAGATCACATTCTTATTGTACTACAGGGCATAGGAACATCCTCACAGTGTGCAATAGATGATCTTCACAAAAATAATCAACTTGTCAAAGTCCAGTACGGGCCTAGAAAACACAAAGTGCCTTGCACAACTGTATCAGGATTGCATATATGTTGATTCCATGGCTTTTATTTTTCACTAAGAAACTGAAGTCACTAACTTGTGATATTAGCCATTTTTTCCCTCCAAAGAACATGTTACTTAATATACAGACAATACACAGCTACCTCAACAGAACTGCAAAGCAACATGATTAATCTCAATTATCTGAACAAACTTGTGAGGAATAATATGTATTAACCCTTAGTTTTTGCAGTGAACTTAGCCTGGTGTAGAGGCAGTGTTTGGGAAGGTCCCTTGATACTAAATAGCTCCCAGTTTCCTCAGGAGTTCCTTTATTGGCCTCTTTAGGATCCACATCCAGGTCCTATTTCAAGAAAGAAATGAGAACTTAGTTGAAGGTACAGAATTCGTAGATCATAAAATAGTTATCAGTTTTTCTTTTAATCAAGTCAGCATTTTCTTCTTCTTAAAAGGAAAGAAAACACCAGTCAGACTACTTGCAAAAGCTGCTGAAACCACTGTTAGCGACGGGCAGAAGGGGTTACATTTGAGTAGGTTACCCTCTTTTGCTGATGGTTCCTGTCAAACTTGCTGTGCTTGTTTCAGGGTTGCTCTTTTTTACCTAACTTGAAGTACAGTACTACAACACTAATTGTGGGCTAAAAATACATGGATTTATTATGCACATAACCACAAATATTTTATTCATAAAGCATCAGAAGTGTCCTGTTTGTTCCATCTAAAAAGGTTTTCTGCACCGTATCCTCTTTCATAGACATCAAAAAAGGTGTACTGCCCCGAGGAGCTTTCCGTTTTACTCCTATCCTTCATTTTACTGTGATCAGCTGAGTAACATCAATGGAACTGGACAGGATCACCCAGGTGCAAAGAACTGTAAAATTAAAGCCTAAGAAACCTTGTTCTGCAAGGTGGGTGTGTCCTCAGCTCACGTAGGAGCTACTGACATTTAACTTCTTCAAATTAAATGTAACAAATACTTGATATTAGACAATGAAAAACAAAGGAGACTTTGAAAAAGATGACCCTAGATTCATTTTAATGTTTTTTTATATATACTAAAAATATGCATTAAAAAAAAGAGTAAATGTGTCTGTACAGACACACACACATAAGCACTTGATTTCAACAGTTTAGACCCATTTTATTACAAAGGATGCAGTTTGATATGGAGAGACCAGACAGTTTTCAACTTCAGTGGAGGGAGATCACCGAGACGCTAACAAGAAGCACTTACGAGTGCGAAGTCTGTAACGTAGGCTCTGCAAACTACTATTTCAGGTGGCTTCTTCACTATTCGTGTGTAGATTATCATGACATTGGAAAACTCTGCTGCAAACCCCAACTGAATCCGAACACCACATTTGAATTCAAGATACATACTTTCTGGAAGCTCTGCAAGTAAGCAACACATCATTACAGTCTAAATAAAACTTAGCATATGTATTTTCTATTTTTTTTAATTCTGTTTTTAAATTCAAAAGTTTTAAAAAGGTATAGACCTCTTCCTCCTGCCCTCCCTCTACCTATCACTTAAATATTTACGCTGAAGCAAACCAGGTTAGAAGCCAACAAGGCAGCAACACTGTTTGCTAGTATCACACAGCCACTGCCAGAGGGAGCTGGCTCAACTTCTGCTTCGCAGGTTTCTTTCCAATCTCTGTGCAACCAGCAAGGCAGGATTTACTGTAACTAGGGTATAGCTTACTGACCCGAGAATTTGTTTACGTATCTGTAATCAAACCAGTAAGGTTAATATGGTATATATGCAAAATATAGGAGACACAGCTACAGCATTATAAGAACCTTTGAATTTGACAGCAGAACAAGTTGCAGGTTCATTTTTTTTCCTTTCACAGCCCATGCACACATTCACAAAGCCTAGCCTGCAGCATTTTTCTTCTTTATATTTTGGATCTTTCTCAATCCGTAGGAATATATCTGAAAGTGCTCAAGGGTCAATGACATCATTCTGTGTCTGTATGCTTTGTACTGATTTTTCTACTCCCACTGGAAGTAGATTATTTAACATTATCGCAGACATACCTTTATATAAATATAAAGGTTATTCGCTTCTCAAATTCCAAACACATTCTCTTCTATGCATGGCTTAAAACAAATAAACCATAAGATAACATTATGTCTTTATAAATTTTATTTTGCATTTCATCATTTAACAAATGAGAATAAAGGGCTTAATTCCACAAATAAAAACCTGTATCTGCAAAAGAATCTGCCTACATGACTAGTTGTCTTAAAAATGCCACCACTGACCTTCTGCCCAATCTCTCAAAGAAATTTTAAAATGTACTCCCAACATAGTTAGATGAAAAAGATAAAAAGCTCTTAAACCCCACTGGCCTTAGAAGAAGTCTAGAAAGCCTGGAATTGATCTCACCCTTATTTTAGTTTTCTTAGTTGTATACATTGAAAACTCCTTTTCATCATGCACTTTTACTATACAGTTCACCTGGCTATTTTAGGTGAGGACTTTAGAATGAGATTAATGATGCCTTAAGTGTCATTGTTAGTCATAAACAGACTACTGGGAGATTATCCCAGCAGGTAGACATCATATAAGTGTCCCCTACAGTGTTTGAGTGGTCTTAAATATACTTACTCAGGATGAATTCTGCATGTCATCTTGTTCATTATAATATCATGTAGAGGTAAACCCCAACACAAAAACTTCCAAGATCTGAACATACTAATGAAATTTCAGATATGAACTTGAATTTCTTCTACTGCCATTCAATATCACAACCCATAGACTAGAGATTATTGAGGCATTACATCCTCTTGTTTTTACCATCATGCCAGCAGGATCATCTAAAAGTAGACTGTACTATACCATGAGCTTTGGCCCACTGTAGGTTCCGTGCCAGAGACTCCGCAGAAGATACGGTTTGTTGAATGGGATCAGTTAACGCCCTTTTCTCAGACAAACTGCTGCGGATCTCCAAAGCTTGTTTGCCTTTGGTAAGGTGACACTTGCCCATATCTAGAAAATAAGATGCATATCATTTCTCTCAGAATCAATGCTGCTGAAATGCTAACTAAGTACATCACTGCAATGCTGTCTGGTTGCTATGGTTATACCAGCATCAGCACTCCCATAAAAACTTGTAGTTTCAGAAGTATTCATTGCTTAGCTATTTACTCACTTAAGGCTAAAACAGCATGTCAGATGCCTGCAGAGAATCCTGGTGTCCTAATCAAGATGCTCACCTGTTTTTCAAAACCAGTTCAAGCAATATCACAGCTCTGATTCAGTAAATTCCTAATTAAAGTGATTGATTTGAAGAATGTGAATAATACCATTGGAAGAGACTTCTAAAGAATTGGAGGCCAGTGGATATTTTAGGGGTCGATAAAGGGGCCAATACTTTTTATTTTAAATCATCACTGATGAGCTGGGTGACAGAACAGAGTACACCTTCAGTAAGTCTGCAGATTAAAAACTGAGAGGAGTAGCTGATTGTGCTGGTTTCAGCCAGGATAGAATTAATTTTCTTCACAGAAGCTAGTGTGAGGCTGCGTTTTGGATTGGGGATGAGAAAATGTTGATAGCAACAGCTCAAAACATCAGTATGTTAAGTAGTCAAGGACAGTCCAGCTTCTTGTGCTGGCCGGCCAGCGAGGAGGCTGGGGGTGCACGGGAAGCTGGAGGGGACACAGCCAGGACAGCTGACCCAGGCTGGCCAGAGGGATATTCCATACCATAGGGCGTCATGCTCAGTATACAAAGCTGGGGGGAATAAGGAGGAAGGGGTGGGGGGACATTCAGAGTTATGGTGTCTGTCCTCCCAAGTCTCCGTCAGGCGTGATGGAGCCCTGCTTCCTTGGGGATGGCTGAACCCCTGCCTGCCCATGGGAAGCGGTGAATGAATTCCTGGTGTTGCTTTGCTTGTGTGTGCAGCTTTTGCTTTGCCTGTTACACTGTCTTTATCTCAACCCGTGAGGTTTCTCACTTTTATTCTTCCGATTCTCTCCCCTGTCCTGCTGTGGGGGAGTGAGCGAGCGGCTGCCTGGGGATTAGTTTATGGCTGGGGTTAAACCACAACACTGATACACCAGAGGGTCGTGATGCAATTCAGAGGGACCTGGACAGGCTATAGAATTGGGCAGAGAGGAATCTCATAACGTTCAACAATAGGAAACACCGAGTCCTGCACTTGGGCAGGAATAATCCCATGCAGCAATATAGAAAGGGGACCGACTCACTGGAAAGCAGCTTTGCAGAGAAAGAGGTTGGGGACCTGGTGGATACAGAATTACAGAATCATTAAGGTTGGAA